GGCGGCGGCAGCCGCAGCAGGCGCAGCGCGAGCGCGGCGTCTCGGAGCCAGGGCCCGAGCTCGGCGGCGGCCTCGCGGCAGCGCAGCAGCGCGCACTCGCCGGAGAGCCCGTGGTCTTGGGCGTCGCGGCCGCGGCAGTGGGCGCTGCAGTAGACGAGCGCCTGGCAGCTGCGGTTGGGGGGAGCCGGGGAGGCGCGTGCGCGTGCTTGGGGGTTGAGACGCGCAAGGGGGTTGCTTGCATGGAGTGGAAGGGCGCGACATATGCGCCATGCGGCTGCGTGTCGAGCGTCGTTTGGGGGCGCGAGGGGCCGATGAGGGAAGCTCCGCGGCCAGTGGAGCGACAGAGCGCACCGACGCACCCACCCATCGCAGGCGGCGCGCTTGGCGCTCGGGACGCCGCTGAGAGCGGCTAGGCAGCGCTGGCAGTAGGAGGGCAGCGCGCCGCAGCCCGCTGTGGACGCGGCGAGCGGCGCCTCCTGGGGGGCGCGCGGCAGGGGCGGGGGCTGATGATGGCGGCGGTGCATGCAGCGGTTTGTGCTCCGCAGGGATGCATCAACAAGACAGCACTTGCAGCTTGAGGCTCAGGAGCGCCCGCGGGCGCACCGCCCCCTCATCTGCCGCTTGCCGCACCTTCAGGAGGGACGTCCCTGCATGCATCCAGCGCGTGCTGACGATGTGGTGGCCCCGGTCCCCTGAATACTTCAGCTGCAGGCCGGGGAAGACGCTCCCGTCGACACGGAGGCGTGGCGCGTCGTCTGTGGGTGGTGGCGAGTGCGCCGCTGCGGGCGACGGCCGCTCCATGATCAAAATTTCATCTAATGCTTATTCTAGTTCCTCAGAAACAATGTCGAGTGCGTCACATATCATCGCAATGTCAGCCTATCAGATCGCGTGATCTCATTACTATCCTGTTGTGTACCCCGGATGCAGGTCCAAGCAAGCTTTTGTGTGACGCTTTTGTATGAATCTACGAGACCTGCTCTAGTCTCATCTGCCTTCGCTAGAGTTTGGGCGTGCCGGACGAGGGGGGTCACAGTCACAGGCTGTGGCTGCTCGTGCTGGACTGCCCACTTGCATCCCTTCTATCGCTGCAGGCAGAGGCTCCAGCAGGTGGTAATACCTCAGAATGCCTAGTCATGCTGTGAAACAGGGCCTGGTTTTGACTGTATGTAATCGCCACTGGGCTTACCCACTGTGCGGGGCGCACGCAAAGCCACTGCCAAGGGTTGTGGCAACCACTCGTTGATCTTTGGGACCACCATGCCAGGGATTGCGGCAATCACTGGTTGATCCTGGGGTTGCCACCACCATGCCAGGGGTTGCGGCAAGCGCTGGTTGATCTTTGGGTCGCCACCGCCATGCCAGGGGTTGAGGCAAGCGCTGTTTGATCTTTGGGTTCGCACAACCCAGGCGGCGGTTGCGGGTTGCGCCCCGCAGGCACAACCGGGGCGCAACCGCTGCTTACTGATACTGTCTGCTTGCCTCACAATTCATGATGGATTCAAAAATCTTACGTGGGCAGCAAAGAAGGAGAGCGACAATCAGCGCAATTGTATATCAGCAGCAGGGGCCAATAAGATGGATGGAGTGATTAAAAGAAGTACGCGATGATCCATACATTTGACCGCAACCACGATGACTTCTCGCACTTGTTCACGCACCACGATGGATGCACAAAGACTGTGATGCATAATGTGACAATTTGATGCGCAGGCGGGCAGGCCAGCGGCCAGTGGTTTGAGAACGGAGAGCCCCCTGCACCCCCCTGCCGCCGTTCCCCGCCGCTCACATCACCAAACAAAGCGCAGCCCCCTCACCGCCTCCACCACGGCCTCCGGCCC